GGGATTTATGGTTTCCTGGCTTGAGGTTCTTAGAGATATACCGTCTCCGGCTTTGGGTTTACAGTTTCGGGTTAGCAGAGTAGTATTTGGGGGATACAGTCATCCCCATATCATTGTAAAGGAGAAGCGTTAGTTCCCATAGGATACTCGACAAGTATGCGCAATACATATACATATATATATATATATATATAAGAGAAAGAGAAAGAGAGAGAGAGAGAGAGAGAGAGAGAGAGAGAGAGAGAGGAGCTTCGAGCAGAAGAACAAAGACTAAAAATCTGCAACAAGAGGAAGCCACAGGATTTTCGAGGTCTTTGGAGGACAAGGGCATTGACCAAGAACACCCATGTTCTCTTCAGACCCAACAAACTAGCAAAACCTTACAGATGTCCTCCGAGAATCGCACACAGCAAGGGCGAGAGATGATAAACTAGCAAGGAAAAGGCTTCAAGAACCCAGCTCCATCACAGCATCCTTCGCAACTTCCCCACACCGGACTTAAGATGTCGCTGATAAGGGCCCGGGCCACTGGGCTGCAGGTCTCGGAGTGTTGAACATGCACAGCTCGAACAACAGCACTGCTACCGGTACTGCTGCCAATGCAGCTACTGCTGCAAGCGCCATGCCGGCGAACGCTACGACGACGACGACGACGACGACTACGACTACGACGACGACGACTACGACGACGACGACGACTACGACTACGACTACGACTACGAGTACGAGTACTACTACTACTACTACTACTACTACTACTACTACTACTACTACTACTACTACTACTACTACTACTACTACTACGTACTACTACTACTACTACTACTACTACTACTACTACTACTACTACTACTACTACTACTACTACTACTACTACTACTACTACTACTACTACGACTACTACTACTACTACTACTACTACTACTACTACTACTACTACTACTACTACTACTACTACTACTACTACTTACTACTACTGCTACTGCTACTACTTCTACTACTACTTCTACTACTACTACTACTGCTACTACTACTGCTACTACTACTGCTACTACTGCTACTGCTACTGCTACTACTACTACTACTACCACTACTACTACTACTACTACTACTACTACTACTACTACTACTACTACTACTACTACTACTACTACGACTGCGTGTACGACGACGACTGCTACGATTGCCGCTAAAGGAACATATTCACCACGTGCTTTCAAATCCCAGTATCTGTGTGGTTGCTATATTTACTGCTGCTTGCTATCGCGCCGACAGATATGACTGCAACTGTTGAACCTCTTGGTGTGCCGATGCAGGTAGCATGTGCGCAGAGAGTCTCGGCAGCTTGATTGATGTTCAAAGTCTGACCTCAATCCGAGGTGGTGAGCTCACATTCGAGGAGCTGCTAGAGGGAGCCAGAAATGAGCCTCGGTCGGCAGCGGAATGTTTTCTGGTCGTTTTTGACTCACGAGATAGAGTCCCCTGTTCGGGTAGTAGTTTTGTTGCCACATCTGTTTATTTCAATTTCCTTGCTTCGGATTTCGGACCGGTGGATCCCGAAGCTCCATTCTCAACAACATGCACTGGTGGTCCAATGATGCCGAATGCGCGTACAACCGTGTGCTTGAATATAGGCATTCACCCAGATCTGTCTTTGCTCCTCTACTCGCAACCGACGTCGTACTGATGCAACATAAAGCCAGAAAAAGCTATGGAACTTCACAAACACCAAAACAAGGCACAGACACATGTCGCATCGTAGAGTCTGAAGCCAGAAGCACTTCGCACTTCATCGTACCGCCAGATACCCAATCAAGCTCTGCATGCAGGATCCCGAATTTCAAAGCCGATTGCGGGTGATGGATATCGACGAGGCGATCACCCAAAAAATGCATCCCCAACCCTAAACCACCAAAAGATTGCAACGATTTGGGCCGGTTTCATCGGCCCTATTCGGACAAGGGCCTATAGTTAAAATTATCGAAGGTTCCATTCTTCGGGTTTGGGGGGAGTTTTGGGGATCTGTTGTTTTCTTGAGAATGCAGACGTCCCGAGAACACAATAAACGTCTTCCCTTCTTTGAAAGTTTGTACGGTAGTGGAGAAACAGAGCAATAGGATGCCGGAAAGCCCGTGCTAGCCGCTGCTTGGGCACCTTGCGTGGGATGGTAACTCCTAGGGTAAACTTAGAAGCCGGAAGATTGCGAATATCTTCCTGAGGCTGCCAAAAACGATATTTAATATGAAAACAGTATAATATATAGCCCGCAAAGCCCAAAACTGATTCTTTGGACCCCTCTGTTAAAGCCAGAGCGCGGGTCAGGAGCCGAGAGTTTGGTCTATTTGGGCTGTTCTCTAAATTCGGGGTCCCCTTTTAGGGTCCTGTTTATAGAGGCGCCGGAAAGGATGGAGGGGGGGCCCCAAGAAGGGACCCGAACTCTGAGAGACTACCCATGCGGAGCCCTCGGGTTGATGATTCTGCAAGACTTTGGGCATTTAATGGCCGTGATGTAGTCTCGAGGGCTCGGACACCCCTTCTTCAAGGAACTTGATGTTGAATTGAAGCTGCTTACTGCAAGCTTCAAAGCTGGTCTCAACATGCTCGGGTTAGGGCTCTGGGGCTCTGGGGCGTGGCATTGAGCTTAGAGGGCAAATTCGCAAGCTCTTCGAACCCAAGGAAGTTCTACACCCGGGTTTACGGTTGAGGTTTTGCGTTGTTGGCTTAAGGTACAGACCTTGCAGACCCTGCTTTTACCCGGGCCAAGCCAAGGGAACCTCTAAACCGTTTCCGAATCTAGAGACACCCCAACACCCCTATAGGGCCATGGAGCCCTCACCCCCAAAAACCAAAGCCCAGCCCTACAAAGCCCCGCCAAGACCTCTGCTAAGACAAGACTGCAGCGGTTTAGGGTTTAGGCACAAATCCCCAATTCCAACCCGACAAAACCGTATAAAATCTAAGAGCCCGCAGGCTGACCTCCAACAGCTTTTCAAAATGATCGACGTAGACGGACCCTCGGAGACGCATGAGTTTCAGAGTCCGCTTCCTACAGTATTAGCTTTCGGGGTTGAAGTGCCCCTGAAGTGTTGCCGTAGGGTTCCAAATCTTGCGGATTTGGCAGCGAAGTTTGGAGTTGAGGGAATTAGGGATTTATGAGTTTCAAGAGTTATTTTGTCTGTAGTTTTACGAGTGGCACAGATGTTGCCCTTCGACCAGGCTTGACGCTTCGAGTGCCTGTGAGAGAGAGAGGGATTTACGGGTTTGGGGATGTACGAACGCAGGAGTGCAGGGCTTTGCATTGGGGTTTAAGTATTTTTGTTCGCACTTCCCAGAGCATTGTCGCACTCAGCGGTGCGGCATCCAGCATTCTCCCCGAGCGGTCGTTTATCAATGTGGACATGATATAGAGTATCATAGAATACAGCAAAATTATGCGTTGGATATACATGTAATTTATCAAAATACACGTCGCAGAACTAATACAGTATAACGTAGGATAAGGCTAAGGGGAAATGGACGAGCAAATCGAGATTCAACGTGATAAGCCGGCTACGTCTCAGAAGAGGTGTCCACATATTGCGGGTCTAACTGATCCCTAAGATACTAGTAGAAGGTCGTTGGGTGCAGCTTCAATAACCATCCCGGTGCCCCTGGCAAAGCCGCGTGGTTTTATACCTTCCGCTCCCACATTCCTACACATGTTGCAGTAAATTTACCTGACACTGCCATAATGCGTTTGTTTGCGCAGTGCTCTGTCATGAACGTAGGCTGGCGGAAGTTTGAGGTATACCTTGAACATCTGTTGAACTCATGGACTCCCCTCTGACCCTTAACTCGCTGATGCAGCTTTCGACGCCAACATGGATGGCTCACTCCGGAAGAAAGGAGGTCCTCGGTAGGCTCGTCATAAGGGGGAGAATGGATATATATCTATATATATATATATATGTACGGATCCTCTAAGTAATTTGATACGAAGATATATGGGTGGTTGTCGATATTATGTCCCTTCTTGGGTCCCGATTATAACACGGCACCTATTATTTAGGGTGCCCAAAAAGGGAGCATCATTTTGACAACCACCCATACAGCCAACATATAGCCCCCGAGGCCGTGCAGTAAACCCCCTAAAGTTGGAAACCGGATTAAGGCCAAATAGTGCTGGGATTCCCTATACATTACTCTTAAGGATTCAGGCTATTGCTTTTCCAACTTTTGGGCTTCTGCTGTAAATCCAGCCCAGGCTCCGGCGCAGTAGAGAGAGACGAGTTCGTCCAGCCGCTCAGCAGATGGGTGCACGAGTCCAAGCGCCTTGGCTGTTGCAGGCCCCTGAGGCCCCCTTTAAACGAGATCTATGCGGGTTCTATAAGGAGCCTTTCAAGGGATCTATAGGGCTTTTATGAGGAGCGTTTAGTTGAAGTAGGGGTGTGTAGGGTTTAGGGGCTTAGAGTATAGGGTTTCGGGGATTAGGTTTATAAGGTTTAGGGTGGCTTAGGGTTTAGGGCTTAGGGTTGCAAGCCAGTTGCAAAAGGGTGAGTAGGGCGTCGAGGATTGCGCCAGGTGGAGGGGCTCGACGGTTTGGGGTTTAGGAATGGCAAATATACTGAGAAGGAGTACAGTCCAGTCTGGGTGTAAGGGTGCTACCGAAAGCATCGACCAAAGACCCTGAGTTTTCAAACCCTGCCTCTAGTCTCCATTGCAGTTCCTTTTTGGGGTTACCTTTTAAGAACCTTAATATAAAACTGGTTTAAAAGGAATTACAGTGGAGACTATAGGTGTTTAGCGACGTATTCAATTCAGGACTGCCACCCGCTTCATCAAGTACAACGTCGCGAAAGCTCTTCACGAAAATGAAGAGCAGCGGGACTGCACAGGTTTAGGGTTTAGACGAGGCCTGCAGCAGCAGGAAGAAGAAGACTCGATGTGGAAACCGACGGCATAGTTTGACTTTACAGCTTTGGCTGCCCTAAACCCCTTACCCCGAACTCTGAAAGGCCTCTTAACCCCGAAGGCATCTTAACCCTGAAAGGCCTCTTAACCCCTTAACCTCTAGCTTGACTTAGTGCAGGATCTCACTATTGAGGTGAGTGATAGCGCGAGTGGCTGGCATGCTTGTTTTGCAGTAGCTGTTGCATTTTGTTGCAATTTTGTTCGGAGTATGTCCGCATCGAGCCACTGCCATGCCAAAGCTAATGAACCATTTCAACCAGATGCTTAGGGAACCTGGTTGAACCCTATCCTTCAATCAGTCTACTTCATCTACCTCATCCCAGTTTTGTTCGATTTGAATAGTCACAGCGGAGAAGTCCAAAACAACGGCTTATGTTGCTGGGGTAGAAGCAGCAACTAGTGGAGTAGATGCTGTCTGTCCGATTAGGATTTATATAGGGTATAGGTTCTTCGGTTTTGAGGGCTTGGGAACTCGGAATCGATGGGCCCACAGCATCTCTGACCAGCAAAACCCAGAAGAGCGGTCCGGGAAAAGCCCTATGCTTCTCCCTGACCCCTTTGATCCAGGTTGCGAGAGCATACAAACTCCAAATTTGCAGCTTGCCAGCACTGGGATCTTGGATCAGCTGGTGGCTCTGAAAAAATGCGGAGGTTGTCGCACCTCTGTGCCTTCTTAAGCTGATGAGGGCTTCTGGAAGTGCGAGGTTTGGGGTCACAGAAGGAGGGATGAACCCCGAAGCTTCGTGTTGTATAGTTTTTTTTAATTTTTTCATGAATTATATTGTATGGTTTTGTTATAATTATAATTTTGCGATGTTGTGTATTGAATTAATTATTGAAAACGACTGACCATATACTATATATTTTTCATTGATTACCAGTTTACTACCCAAAAACCTCGGGCCCAATCATCGCCGTTGGAAATGGAAAGCCGGTCGTTCCTCTCGAAGCCCTCCGCATCAATACGTTGAGGGTTCTTAGCCAGAGGAGATATATAACATAGGAACATGCACCCATGGGCCCCATAGTAGCTCCTTTTGGGCATTCATATTTAGAATTCTATAAGGCACTTTTTGGGGCTACTATAGGCCTATGGGTAATTAGTATGTACCTATAGTCTCCATTGTAGTTCCTTTTTGGAGTTTCCTTTCAGGATCCTTAATATTAAATTGCCGAAACCAAAAATGGAACCACAATGGAGACTATAGGTGGTACCCAATTCGTGGTTGCATCTTCTGTCTTCCAGTTTTGAGCACCTGGAACTGTCTGGTTCGTTCACGCGAAGTCTGAATCAGAGAGGCCCTGGAGGACCCTAAGAGTCCATGTACTCCTATATCACATACATTGGCCTTAATGTTGTCACTATTTGGGTACTTTAAGGCTCCATGTACTCCTATATCACATACATTGGCCTTAATGTTATCACTATTTGGGTACTTTAAGGCCCAAGTATATACTATGTGGGTACATGGACCCTTAGGGAGATCGCAACAATACCCAACTTGGCTTCAGACTGATCTGAGTGAGCGAGGTCCAGGGGCCAATATGGGGGGGGGGGGCATAAATAGTTAGAATATGGTTGCGGGGCATTTTATACTACACGTAAAATTCATAAGGAACCCCAAAAGAGTATTGGTAATTGTTCACGCCCTTGTATTACATATATATATATATATATATATATATATATATATATATACACATCTCTATCTCTCTCTCTCTCTCACTTCTGTGACGGAAAGTCTTCATCTCCGAAGTCGGTAGCTCCAAGCTGGACTTCTTTGGGCGCGCGCGCGTGGCTTTGACTTTTGTTTGCCTAGGTGAAATCACCCAGAGAGCCCAGTACTCACCTGCTTAATTCACGGACTACACCTGTCATTTACTTAAGGATCCCGATGTAAAGGAAGGGATAGTCACTCCGTTTGAGTTTGTAGTTCAAAGCTCTGAAAGCTTGCAAGCCGTGTGAGGAGCAGCTCAATACCAACATCAACCGGTGACTTGGCTGGGTGTAGGGTTTCAGGGTGTTTTTTTCGCGATCTTGGGGGCATCGAGGGTGCATTTCCCGATGTTATGGAGGCTGGGTTAGTTGCATTTACCGCTTCAGGAGCCGGCATCAGGGTTTCAGAGTTTAGGGTTTCGGGCCGTTTCGGGTTTAGCCTTTGGGGGTTTGGGGTCATGGTCTGTGGGACTCTCCCCACTTGGTAAATGACCTCCTGAGTTAAGTGCAAGATTCTCCTCGTCGGCTGTTATGGGGCCGGGCCTAGTCGGTCCAAAGCCTAGACATTCAACACATCTTTATGAAGGGGTCTAAAGGAGCCCTTAAACGCTTATAGAACATCTATGATATAAGGAGGTCATGGCTTGTGCCGTAGCCGGCCTGCAGAGCCCTGAACCGCCATTCCCGAAATTTGCAGGGTTTTCAATCCAAAGGTGCCAGGGTTTAGCGTTTAGAGTTCGCATGGTTTTAGGGGCCGGCTGCAAAAGGGTTTAGGGGTAGGGCTCGAGATTGGAGAGCCATCGGAGACTCTCACCTGATTGGTGCTGCTACTGGCAGGTGCCTTCGCAATGTGACTGTTCGTTAGTGAGTGTTACCACTCAGCGTGATTCGGTGGCACCAGCACCGGCACCACCCACCACAGCGCCAAACCATTCCTGCTGCTGCTGCTGCTGCTGCTGCTGCTGTTGTTTCGCTTCTACTTGCCGCTGCTACTGCTACTGCTATCCCTACTACCACTACTACAACTCCTCCTCCTCCTCCTCCTCCTCCTCCTCCTCCTACTACTACTACTACTACTACTACTACTACTACTACTACTACTACTACTACTGCTACTCCTACTGCTACTCCTACTGCTACTCCTACTGCTACTCCTACTGCTGCTCCTACTGCTACTGCTACTGCTACAGCTACTACTGCTACTCTACTACGACCACCACCACCACCACTACTGCTACTGCTACGACAGCTATTACGACCACCACCACCACCACCACCACCACCGCTGATGGAGGAAGTGCTGCTGCCCTGCTGAGTTTCGCTCCACTGCTTGTCTCGTTGCTGATGATTTTTGTTGCTGCTGCAGTTTCCCCTCGGCGGTCTTTGTGGTATGTATGTTCATGTCAGTCTTGTTTACATGCTTCCGGCGTTACGTAGACCTAGGCCACCAACACCCGTCAACTCTCAGTACGAGTTGAAGACATCTCTGCGTTCCCTGAGGATAGCAGTCTGTTTGGGGGTTCCACTTGCCGAATCGTCAAGGCTCCTTGGTTGCAAAGAGAGCCGGGCCGTCCTCGCCGATGGGGATGTGGTTCTTGACGGTTTCCGCAAAGTGCGGTTCCATGAATTGCCGAAGATTCTGAGCCGAGGGCGTCGGAGGTAATTGGAGTTGATGATCTTGTCCTATCATTTTACGATCAAATATATAGAGACTATAACTATAAGCCGACATGGTTACCCATGTTCGCGACATCGATAGTATGGTATGAGGTCACTGTTTCCCATGTTGCTTGCAGGGTACCGCCTGGAAGAGCACTCCACCGAGAGCCCAGTCTTCGGTAGCGCTGTGCAGGTCGATGAAAAGATCTTCCACGAAGACTCTGCAAACCTTGAGTGGAGGGGGCTCGACCAAAGCTGACAAGGCTCGAGGGTTGAGTTCTTCGGGGTTTGTGGGGGGTCGTCTTGAGTGCCATGAAGCTCTTTCCTTCAGCGGCACGAAGCTCGTGCAAGTGGCAGCGAACAGTGAAGTGCCATGAAGACAGTTGAGATGAAGACAGTTGAAAGGGCCATAGAGGTGTCATCCAACATGGAATTGATGACTTGCTGGAAGGGGGTAGGGGGTCGCCCCTCGACTAAAGTGCGTAGTTGGCCTACACTCGTCATTCAGCTCGACTTTCCAAGTCTCCCGAGTGCTTGAACATGTGTTAGTGGCGGAGACTCCTACAGCGCAGCCCCTAAACTCCAGACCCAAAGCCCTAAACCTTAAAACCCCTTAATGTGGAGCCTTGCCTGCTGTGAGTGAGTGTGAGCGTCGAAAACCCCTAAAAAGCCTAAACCCTAAACCCCTAAACCCTATACGCCCCTAAAACCCTATACGCCCCTAAACTCCCAAGCCCCTATACGCCCCTAAACCCTAAGCCCCTTAAAGCCTAAGATCGTTTGCAGGATCCCTCCCCGGCGCTTCGCCGCAGTCCCACCTCGGAAGCTGCTACTCGTCAGTTCCGGCTTGCAGGGTTTTTTAGGGGCTTAACGGTTTTTGGGGGGTCCTTTCATAGGCTACTAATTATAAGGGTTCTGTTAATAAGGGATCTATAGGGTTTAGGGGTTTACTTGTCTTTTGTGTTTACTCGTTTTGTGGTTTTTAGTGCTTTAGGGGTCATGAGGGTTTTTTTTGGGGTGTAGGGGCCCAGGGGTTTAGAGTTTAGGGTTTAGGGAAGGTCTTGTCGTAAGAGCATTGGAAGTGGACTCGAAACCGCTATCGGCACTGCCGGAAAGAGGTGCGAAGCGGCAGTCATCGAGATAGACGCCGTCATCTTGTCTTAGGGTTTAGGGTTCAGGGATTGTCGTCTCTGCAGCAGCAGCAGTAGGTCAGGATGCTCCCAGCTGCACTGCAGTCGTCGTTTCCGTCGTTTCAGCAGCAGCCGCAGTAGGAGCAGCATAGGCAGGACCAGCAGCAGCCACAGCGGCAGCGACAGCGGCAGCAGCAGAGGAAGGGAGAGGAGGAGGACGAGGAGGAGCTGTTGCTGCTGCTGCTGGCGCTGGTGCTGTTGTTGTTGCTGCTGCTGTTGTCGCTGTCGTGGCTGTAGCTGCTGTTTTTGTTTCTTGTTCTTGTTGTTGTTGTTATTGTTGTTGTTGGTGGTGGTGGTGGTGGTGGTGGTGCTGTGGTCGTCCTCGTCCTCGTCGCCGCAGCGCTTCAGTGGAGTTGGGGTCCGGTCCTCATGTTCTGCTGCCTTCGCAGGCTTCAAGATTAATATATATAGAGGCCTGAATAATTAGAATAGGGATTTGGGGCCCATTATACTATACTTATGATAAGGAACCCCCAAAATAGTATAGGTAATTATCGAACCCTCTATATTAGGGTGCTGGCATCATCGCACTGTCCATCAACCTCCAGTTTGACTCGGCCATCAAGCACCATTTTCTTAGGGGTACTTGGAAAATGTTTTTTTTAATTTTCTGTTATAATAATCCCTAAGAAACAGCGAAAATTATAATTTTGCTAGGGGACCTAAGTTCAGTATAGTTTTGGGCCCCAGGGCAGAAGCCTTCTGCACCCGAAGCCGTAAGCCCTTTGAGGTGTACGGTTAAGGCTCCCGGCCACGTAATGTTCCTTAGCCGCGAAGCTTGAATAAGCGCTGTAAGCCCCAAGGCAAGACAAGCCTTGGCATTATAGTCTGTAAGTCTTTTATCAGCGTTTTGGGGTTACAGGGGCCATATATAGACTCCAGACTCCAGGGCAAGACTCTGTAACTGAGACCACTCGCCCTTCTCTTGGTCCGGAAACAATACCAGAAACCTCACAGACCTAGTCTTAGCCCCTGCAGCCATGAGAGGTTGGCAGCCAAGCGCTCGGGCATGCCATCCCCACCATAACGAAGCAGAAGTCGCTGCTTCTCCGCAGGGTCTTCGGTTTAGGGTTTAGGGTTTAGGGTTTAGGGTTTAGGCAAGCAGGGTTCAAATTGAGGGAGTTTTCGGATTTTAGCACTCAGGGCCTTGCTGTTGAAGGGAGTGTGGACCTGACCTTGCCCTATATACATGCGGCTACATAGCAGCATCGAGTAACTCGTGATGGAATGTGAGCAATTGCAATCAAAGATGCTAAGAGCTGCTAAGTCAGCAATATCCATCGCCGCCATAGCCATTTTCTTGTTGTCCAATGAGCCCTTTAAACGCAGGAAGGTCGGCCCCCCTTCTAGCCGGGTGAATCCGCTGCTAACCGAGCGGACTAGAAATGGGCAGCCAACGCAAAGCAAGGATAAGGGCACTGGAGACGGAGTCAACTTGAAGGGCGCCCTAGCTAGGTGCTTCTGTTTCCAACAGATTTGACCAGTGTATGACCCCCTACAATATACCGTACATGGCATATACGCATGCATAGCATATGCGCATGTAACCTGCAATCCACTGAGAGATTGCAGGAGTTCAATGGAGTTTCTGCTAATTCGGGTTTGACCGAGTTGCATGTGGCTGACGACCGTGGCCCCAAGTGATTTCCTTCCTTGGGGTTTACTTTTCAGATGGGTTTAGGGCTGTGAGTGTTTTTGAAACCCCAAGGTTCAAAACCTCAAAAGCCAAAATCCTATGTTATGTTTAGGGTGAAGGGCTCTTGGGATCCATGTTTGCAGCAGTCTTGCATCTGCGCAGCGTGCTAGGCTAGACTCTACAACATGGTCTCGTGTTGGCTGCGTCTGATTTTAGAACGGGGAAGGATGGGAGATTCAAGATTGAGAATCCCGCGGAAAGCCTTAAAAAGACCACAAGCGATAAGAAGAATCAGTGCTTCTCAGGATCGTGAATCGTCTCGCGGCTATGGAGGCGCTAATCATGTTGGGCGTGTGGGATCTCTTGGAAGTCTTGCTGCCTTATTTAGGGATCTGCAAAACCAGAACCTCTCCACATATAGTCCCTATATTGTAGCACAAGATACCCCCCCAAAAACCCCAGTCGATCCATTTAGTAGGCCCCTACATGTCTAGTCTTACATCCTTACAACCAAGGCACTACTTCTCTTGGTGTCTGTGTCAAGGTTCAGGATCCCTTTGGGAAAATTCTCCTTGCAAGTTACTTTGTTTTCGGGACTCCAGCGGTTGGGTAGGTGGTTTATCGTCTTTCTGTGACATCAGGTGTTGGGTTGAAGATCGAGTCCAGGTGAGAGGTTTAGGTTTCGGGGTCCACCATCGCAAGCCAGCTTCGGTTGTTGTTGCAAGGCTTCGCCCTAGAGTGCTGAGACACAGGCTTCAGGGAACAAAACCCTTTTCAACTCATGATTGCTCCCCAGAACACCCTCATAGACTCATGGCGCGTGTTTTAATCTGTTTTGTGGGGCTATTAATGTAGGTCTGGAACAAGAGTTGAGGATCCAGGATTTGATTTAGGGCTCAAGCGCAGGCCAGAAACTTCCAAAAATCGTAGTGTGGCTAAGCCGCTCAGTTTGGCGCTGTGGTTCCCGAAGCCACTTGAAGCCACTTGGGTGGTAAAAGGGTCCCTATTATAATACGGCACCCAATATTTAGGGTACCCAGGGACCCTCATTTTGACAACCACCCACTTGTCTAGTTGAGTCCCTCACCCGACACCTGAACTCCAAATACGGGAAACACACTATCCCCGAGTCTTCGGGTGTGTTCTGACCTGCACTAAACCCATGGTGAATCGTAGAGAAAGTTCAGCGAACAGAGTGTGGTTTCAAGTTTCAGGGTCATTGCATTCTAACCATAGTCTAGCCCTGCTCTGCTTGCTTGCCTCCTAGTTCGGCGATATCGCGAGCCTCTCAATCGTTTCCTCTGGTTGGACGAGATCTACTCCCAGATGGGAGGCCGTGTATGGCACCCTGTCTCACTGATGACTCCACACGATGTGTCTCGAAGACCGACTTGTCGCAGGAGCAGCAGAGGACGTTCTTCAAAAGCTTACTGGGTACTGGCAGTGAGCAGGACCGGGTATAACCGAGGGTTTAGGGTTTAACCGAAACCAAGACTTTCCAGACTAGGGCTTTAGGCTTTGTCGTCCGCAAGAAGTGGAGGGTTTCCTGTTTCCTAGATCTTGCCACTCTGCTCACCTTGAACGATTCGAGTTCGACAAGCAGCACAAGGGCATAAGTTCGACACCGGAGCGACATCAGAGAGTGTGTGAGGACTTGGCACTACCTCAGGCTCAACGTGCGAGCCAGAGTCAGAGCCAGTCCATGACGATGAGCATCCTGGCAATACGGAAGAACCATGAAGCTAGAAGCAATGATACAGTCTTCGACTTTGATACATGCAGTATTGTAAGAGTCGCCTTCGTCGTTGTTCTCGTCCTTCCGTTCGTTATCGTGATCGCTGTCGTCGTCGTGGCCGTCGTCGTCGCTATGGTCGGAGCCGTAGTCGCACGACTCTGGGAATCGCAGTCACAATCGGAGTCGAATCGTAAAGCCGTAGTGGTGGTGATATATATTAGTGGCAGTGGTGGTGGTTGCGGTCGTGGTGTTGGTAGTAGTAGTAGTAGTAGTAGTAGTAGTAGTAGTAGTAGTAGTAGTAGTAGTAGTAGTAGTGGTAGTGGTAGTAGCAGTAGTAGCAGCAGTAGTAGTAGTAGCAGCAGTAGCAGTAGCAGTAGCAGTAGCAGTAGCAGTAGCAGTAGCAGTAGCAGTAGCAGTAGCAGTAGCAGTAGCAGTAGTAGCAGCAGCAGTAGTAGCAGCTGCAGCAGTGCAACAGCAGCAGGAGTAGTAGCAGGAGTAGGGGTAGCACTAGTACGAGTACTAGAGGCAGTAGGAGTAGTAGTAGTAGTAGTAGTAGTAGTAGTAGTAGTAGTAGTAGTAGTAGTAGTAATGGTAGTAGTAGTACTTAGTACTTAGTACTTAGTACTTAGTACTTAGTACTTAGTACATAGTACTTAGTACTTAGTACTTAGTACTTAGTACTTAGTACTTAGTAGTAGTAGCAGTAGTAGTAATAATAAGAACATAACAAGTCGGTAGTAGGTGTGGTTGTACTACGAGGTGTAGCCTCAGGTGGACAATAGAGTGATGGTAGCAGTGGCAGCAGCAGCAGTGCAGAAGTGATGGTTGCTTCTTCACATATCTTGACATGGCCTGCATGCCTTTCGACGGCGATGATGAAGGAGCACGGGCACATGCAACACATAAACGACATCTGAGCCGACAGGCAGACCATCTCCATGTTTAGCAGTTTCGATCTGGATGGCTCCGAGCGAGCGTTGCTACGCACTCTTGTAGCTGTTTATTCGTAAGGAATTCCGTAAGAACCCCAATTTAAATGCAGAAAGTTAAAGTGACTTGGCCTGGGCCCTTTACATAGAGGGGTGCGTGCGTGTCAGGGATACGGCTAGAGGATCAAGCCGTAGAGCTCACACACAGAGAGACCCTTGGCCAATCAGTGCAGAGAGGGACCTAAATTGTACGGCTTAGGGTTTGGGGTTTTTGTGCCACAAGCATTGACATCGTTTAGAGCAGGACGAAAATAGAAGAGACTGATGGCGATGATGGCAAAGCCGTGGAGACAGCAGCAGTAGGAAGCATACTGCTGTCACTACTTTGACGTGCCAAGATGACCCGAAGCCTACGCTTTACACAGTCATGTTAAGGCACGCCGACGAGCTCCTTGTCCATTCCGGGATTTGCCCCCTCGCAAGTGACCTGGCTCCACTGATGGCTGTGCCATCGGTTCCTATAGTCTTGTCTAGGGTGTCGTCCAAGTGTAGATCCACCCTAAGCCCTACACCCTCGAAGAGAGTCCAAGCCCGTTCTTTACGGGGCCATAGTCAGATCCGAGGCAGAAACGAAGCACCCACACCCACCCCTGTTAACTTTGGGGTAACCATAACCCTGTTTTCCCTCCTGCTTAACAAGGACGAAGCCCGCAAGACAATCCCGTGCAATTCGGGCTTCCTCCCTGCTAAGTAGGAGGGAAGAAGACCCTGAAGCCCTAAAGACCTAAACCTAGAAATCATGAGATTTGTGGACTTCCTGCTTAAAGCTTGGACATGTGGGTAATGCGGGTCCCATGCTGCGCAAGTCGGGTCTATATACCGCGGTCTGTTCTGTTAAAGGACCCATATTCTGATGTGATTCTAAGCCCCAAAGCCTAAACCCTAAAATCCTGAGCCCATAGTATAGTCATATAGGACCCTCCTGGAACCTTTGGAACCCTTGACGGAGACCTCATAGGAGCCCTAAACAGAAAACTTCCAGCTTCAGGCTCATGGCTTACTCACTCACTCACGTGCGCCAGAGGAAACATCCTGTGCTAATGTCATGCATGGGGCCGAAAAGCGTCCTGCTATAGGGCGCGGCCTGTGGCAACTAGACAAACGAAACCAGGGCAAAAGCCCAGCTGTACAGGGAGGCGAAGAGCTCAGGCCGACGCTGGATATGCCCAGAAAGCCCTCAGGGACAGGGCAGGCGGGGCACACACAGCGGCACGCCGGGGTGCGCTGGCCAGAACGGAACGCACAGCGGAGGCAAGGCAACCAGAGCAGGCAGCCAGAAAGACATGGCCGCCACTGGAAGGAAAATCCAAGAAAGTAGCTGCAGGGAGCAGACTGCGAAGCAAGGAAAGTCCAGCGGGGCCAGGGCGTCCGTAAATCCAAAACGCACCTCTCTGCTGGACAGACTTGCAGACAAGCCGGAAAGTCACCAAAGCAGAGGCCAACCCCAGCAGTGACCAGCGGCCCACAATCGAGCAGCCGAGGCGCACACAAGCCGCCGGAAGAGGCAGCCCGGAGACAGCCGAAGCAACGGATGGCCCGGTGGTCCCAGGGGTCAAAGGACTGGAGCGCGGACCACAAGGGCAATAGACGATGCCAGGCAGAGGGGAGCTGGAAAACACCAACAACGGCATGAAGCCCGGGCCACCAAGGCGACGGGAGCGACCAGTCGTCACAAGAAGTGGCCCCTTCAACAAAGGAGAACCAATGGAGGTTCGCAAAGACAGACTGGTGGCTCGGAGAAGGGCTGACTCGAGCCGAGCCAGGTTCGTGCTCTGCATCTACAGAAATGCTGGCGGCCGCGACAGGCTGAGCAAGCGGGAGGGCGCCAGCAGTGGCTCGGTGCAGGTTCCCCGGCACTAGGTCAGAGAGAGCCGGGAACAGTGGGGCAGCATCCCATTCAACTTGCAAGTCGCCTGCATCGATAGGGACTCCAAGTTCAGCGGCCCGCCTCTGAACTGGGGTAGCATTGCACGGCCCACACAGGCGTTGCGGCGGAACACCTCGGTGTGCCATACGGCCCTTGCGCTTGGTGCCGGAGCTTACCCTAAATCCTAAACCCCGCTTCTCGGATCCTTGCGAGACGCAAAGGGGACGTTTCAACAAAATGAGAGCCTAAATGGTCCGGGTCTCGGAGTGTAAGAAGTCTGGGTTTGAAACCTTTGTTCTTTCCAGAAATCCGAAACCTGGTAACCTGACCCTGAAACCTAAAGCCCTAAACCCTAAACCCTGGCCCTAAGCCATAAACCTTAAACCCTGACCCCAAGACCAAAACCCTCATGAGTGACGTCTTTAGACTCCCAGAGCTGACCAGATGGGAATTTCCAAAATTAGGGGTACATGATTTTGGGGTCCTTATAATGAGGATCCTACTATGTAAGGTACTTTTTTTAGGGTCCCCTATTTTCGGAAACTCCCAGATCAGTTTGGCAGAACCTTCCTTCAGGTTTTGGGGTTAGCTTTAAACCCTTTGGGCTCAGGGCCAGGGTCGGCAGAGTTCAGTGTTATAGTCTTAGTAGCTGAGTGGATACACTTTGCACTTTTGGGGAACATATTTCCCAGTGTAAAAGCGAAAGTGTACACTGTTGGAGGCTTATGAATTCAGCAACTAAGTATGACCTTTTAAGCGGTTGTGTTGGCACCAAGTTTCGTTGGGTGGAGAGGTCACTCTATACCCTCTGCGTTTAGGGTTCAGTAGCGCCCCCAAACCTAGGCCCCAAATCCAAACCCGGTGTACCCTTTAGGGGATGTGTGGTCATGCCGTCCGGATGCTCTTGTTAAACTGTTAGTGCAGTTTCACATTGTGTTAGCAGACCTCGAACCATATGCCTCGACGGGGTTGTCCGAGTGTGAGCGCCGAAATCCAAACCCGATTAAGACCGCAGCCCTAAACCCTAAACCCCTGAACCCTATCCTTAAACCCCTAAACCCCTACACCACTAAACCCCTGAGTGCCGAAGCCCCTGAACCCTAAACCCTAAACTCCTAATCCCCTAAACCCTAGGCCCTAAAAAGCATCAAGTTGAAAAGCTCTTCCTCGTTGAAAAGAACCCGAGGACGCTCGGGGCAAGCCTGGGCGACCGGAAGGACCACAGGGGCTTTGATACTTGGGAGTTTCCGAAAATTAGGGGTACCTGATTTAGGGGCCCTTATAATAAGGATCCCACTATTCACGGTGCTACATTAGGGTCCCCTATTTTGGGAAACTCCCACTTTAGGAGCGTAAAGACTTACCTATGCTGTTTTGGGGGGTCCCTGATTATAAATATGGACAAAGGGGCCCAAAAACCCTCTCTAATCATTAAGACCCCCTAAATTATAGCAGCCTTATAGATCCCTTATAGACCCCTTTGAGGAACCCTAGGCTTTCTAGAGGTCTTGACGGGCTTCATGGAGATTGCGGGGCTTTTACATGGAGCTCTTGGGATGAAGTGCTTCGGTTTCAGACCACTAAAGGGTTACCTTCGAAGGGAATCCTCCGATAAAATTGTAGCGATGCAGAGAAGATTAGTATGGCCCCTGCGCAAGGATGACACGCACAAATCGAGAAGCGTACCAAGTGTAGATCGAGAAGTGTACCAAGTGTAAAACATGGTTCCGTTTTGGGTGGGTTTGGCAACGCAGCAACTAGATGAAGATGATGTCCATTCAAGGGCCTCAACTTAGCTTCGCTTTTGTATAAAAGGGAGGGGGGACCATAAATCAGTGTCAGGGGTCCGCATTTGTTCCTTCATCCTGGGTTTGAAAGCATCAACGAAGCCGTCGAAGCCCTCAACCTCGAGCCCTTGGAAACATCTGACAGTTAATGATGTTCGTTTGGGTGACAAGTGCCTGGATGCGTACGGTGAAAGTTGCCGTATCTGTTGTTGCTCAGAATGTGTAGTTGACTCCTAAACCTCGCCTGCCTGCCGAGAGCGAGTGCCAAAAAAATGGGAGTTTCCGAAAATTAGGGGTACCTTATTTGGGGGTCCTTAGAATAAGGATCCTACTATTTAGGGTACTAAACTAGGGTCCCCTATTTTCGGAAACTCCCATATCTGCCTAACTGACGGAATCTCGGAAGCCTAGTTGGGTGAAGGTGTTTGTCGTTCAGGGCTTTCGGGTTTTTGAGTTTAGGGTACTTAAACTTCAAGAGGCCTGGATGCAAAAAGGGTTTAAGTACCTTAAACCCATATAAACCCTAAAAACTGCCTAAACTGGGGGGATTTAGGGCCTTTTGAAGGCTTTGCACGTCGTAGGCACGAGGCATGAAATCCTAGAATTTTTTTCTTTTCCTTCACGGTTTTGGGTTTAGGGATCTCTTCGTCAAGCGAGGGGATTACCGGGCGGTGGTAAAGGCCCGATGCAAAAAAGGGATCTCTGAGCGGTTTGGCATTGGGGTTTACAGTTTAGGACTTCGCTCAGCTATCTGTGAAGTACTGAGCGCTTTATGCTTCGAAGTCAGGATCACGCACGAGTGGTAAGTCTAAGCCTTAATTAAGCCGTAAGTACAGAACCCTAAAACCCTAGACAACTTCCACAAACCCTACACCCTGACCCCTAAAGCCGCAACCCTGGACCAGGACCACCTCCCAGCAGTGATGGCGACGAGGCTCGTCCCAGGGTCATATCCCAAGTCGGGGTCCAATTTGGAGTTCAGATTTCAGGGTGTATGGTACAGCTTTAATGATTCAGAGTTCGGGGGTTTGTGGTTGAGGGTTCAGAGTTTCTGCTTCACGGTGAACGGTCTTTGGCTGGGCTGTGCACCGCTGGACACAGGGCTTTGGGCCGGGAAGGCTTAGGAATAGCGAGAATACGACTTGCCATAACAACTTTAACAATGCTTGTTTAGGGTTTAGGGTTTGCCATACTCTTACATCTATATTCATTATAAGAATCCTACCATAACATCCTACCATAACAGGAATCCTACCATACTAAGAATCGCAATAAGAATCCTATTCATGATAAGAGTAGCAGCAATGGGTCAGCTTTACATTACAGGGCTTCAGACTCCGCGGCCGAACTGGCTACAAGAGTACGACTGGAATAGGTTTAGGGTACTTGGCACTCGGAGGTTAGTTATAAGGGTTCCTTTAAGGGTCCCTTTAAAGGGATCTATAGGGCTTCTTGTAAGGGTATAGGCTTTAGGGTCTACTTGGAGGTTCATGGTTAGTTATAAGTAGGGGTTATAAGTAGGATAACTATAGTTATAACCCATATTACAATGGGACTTAAAAACCCACTTATAACTACCCATGAACCTCCAAGTAGTAGAAGGTACAGAGAGTTTAGCTATGCGTAGCATAGCACCATGCTTCCATGCTTGTCTGGTAGATCATCGACTAAATTCATCAGCTGGGGTAGTGAGAGAAACAGCAAAAGAGCCGACATGAGCCATTCATGATGGTGCCACTGTTCCATAAGAAGGAGCTAGCAGTTGTGCAGCACACGAGCGTTAAAGGGAACAACTGGAGTTAAAGCAAATGCCAACCTCATCGCAAACCGGCTAAAAACGCCAGCGAGAGCGTTCGGAATTCCACCCTTCAGCAGCCGTTCAGAGACTTGACGATGTTTTATATATGCCATGACATGGGGCAGGGCGGCGGCACGGGGGCGCGGCGCTAAAGACCCTGAAACTGTAGAGCGAGACCCCAGATAAATCAAAGACTCAAACCTCTGGACTCTGAAGGCCTGACCTGCCCAACCCTGAACCCCTGAAACCCTCGAAGTGAAGATGTTCAGCTTTCCGCCGGTAGAGGCGCCTGCGGTCCAGGACGTGGCGAACAAGAAGGTTCCGTTCCAAGCTTGAAGACATGTTCATTTGGGGGCGGTGGGGAAGGTGCAGAAGGTGTTGTTTCGAGTTCAGGGTTTGCTCAAGGTTTACCTTCCGGGGAGCAGAACTTCTTGTAAGCTGTTCGTTGTGTTCCTTGCGTTTCGTAGTGTGTGATCCTCGTAACGACAGACTTCATTGGAGTCTGCATGTGATTTTGCGTAATGGTGGTGGTCGTGGCCATTTTTTGTAGTAGTTGTCGTGGCACTAGTAGTACGAGTAGTACCAATAGCACTAGTAGTACAAGTAGTACGAGTAGTACTAGTACTACTGGTAGAACTAGTAGTACTAGTAGTACCAGGAGTACTAGTAGTACTAGTAGTACTAGTAGTACTAGCAAGTAGTCGTGGTGGTTGTGGTAGTAGTGGTAGTATAGTAGCAGTAGCAGTAGTGATAGTGCGTGCTGTTGTTGCTGTTGCTCTTGCTGCTTGTGTTGTGGTTTTTTGTCGTGCTTTTCGTCATCCTGTGGGTGCTGGTGGCGGCGGGGCTTGTGGCGGTGGTGGTGCTTGGGATATGTTCATCACTTTGGTTCTTCTCATCATTCATGATTGGCTGATGTTGATGTTTCTTCCCCCCCTGCTACTGTCGTCAGTGTCAGCATTCTTTCTTTGTAACCGTAGCTGCCGTAGCTTACACTGCTAGGGGTTAACTCCGGTATATGAGCGGGGTGGTGCATGCCATGATGGCTGCCATGATCGAAAGCAGGACCGCGGAAGTGACGTAGCAGTCCCATGAGCGTCAGCTCCTTCCCGGAACACTCCGAAGCCCTAATGCTAGTCCACCTATGTATGATGTCAGGAAGTGCATCGTCACATAAGGAAGTAAGTAGGCAAGGCACTACACGTGTAAGAGTGAGTGCATGGACGGATGAATGGATGGGTGGTGCAATGGTTGTTTCGTAAGTTTTATGTAATCGTCTATAAATATGGCCCCTTCTTCTCATGACACAAGTCAATGCAACACACTGGGGCACTTTCCTGACCTATCCTGGCAGTCTACGACGGCTCTCATCTCTCCTCAGACTCGAGAAACCTACACGGACCTTTGCACGGTAGAATAGCGAACAGGAGAAGCCAGAGGGCTTAGCCAGCTTGCAGCTGGAAGATCCAGATGAGGCTGGCGAGATCAGCTTCATAGATTTGGTGTATTTCGGGAGTCAGCGCATAGAAACCTATTGCGCCACTGGTTTTCCGATGTCCTTTCTGCGATATGGTCTTGCAAGGCTTGAACTTTCGAAGTGTCTAGATCTGGGGTTTGGGGGTTTCAATGCCTGGCCTAGCGTTGGATGTTTCGGTGTCTGGGCGGAGGCTTCGGAGTAATGTCGGGCTTGAATCATCAGCCACACGCCCAGCGTTCATCAATACATGCGGCTACCCATAGGCCCCATAGTAGTTCCGTTTTGGGTGTTACCTTATAGGATTCTACAGATGAGCCCCAAATAGGAACTACTATGGGGCCTATGGGTACAGCGCAGAACCTTCCGGGAACCATGCTCTATCACAACTGCCTTGGGCCGAGAGTTGAAGACTCAAAAACCCCTGAGCCCAGAGAGCCCAAGACCCCCTTAATTAAGGAATATACCTTAAGTTATACGGGGGGTTCGTATTATGAGATATAATCAAGGAGTATACCTTAAATTATAAGGGGATTCATCTTATGGTTCAAGATATATTCCTTAGATGAAGGGGTATTGGGCTTATCTTATTTTAGGGCCTCAGAGTTCAGAAGGGTTTTAGGGTAAGGTGCTGGGGCCCAGGCAGAATTTACAGTTTACCTGGTTTAGGTGTACTTGGAGGTTCATGGGTAGTTATTAATGGGGTTATAAGTCCCTTAATATGGGTTATAACTATAGTTATCCTACTTATAACCCTACTTATAACTAACCATGAACCTCCAAGTAGGCGTGATAGAGTTACGGAGTCTAGTTTCTTTTGCTTGGCAAGGCCGCAGAGCTCCACGCTGCAAGAACGCATGCATCTCTGCTCTGTGCAAGAAGCTGCTAGGGTTTAGGCGAGTTGAGGGTTTAGGGTTCAAGATTGCACGAAACCTTTCTGCTTTGGACCACCTTGAAAGCCACCTTCAAAGCCCCTCAAAGCCCCTCCCTCTGCAAGTTCCCCTTGAAGCCTCTTCAAGCCTCCTTCAAGCCCCCTTCGACGAAGGTCGAATCCGTGATCAGAATGCAATTTTTTGTGGCCCTTCGACCAGAAACCCAACATCCGCAGCCCCAAACCTGCAGCCCGAGATCCGAAGCCCAAACCCTGGGGCACCTGATTTTCTGAGATTTCGCAGCATTGAAAAGCCCGAGCTGACCTTGGGCAAACAAATACGTCAACCCTGGACACCTCCCTTTCCAGCCAACGCAGGTGGATGCAGTGGAAGCCCGATTGGATTTTACTGGCTTCAAAGACTTCTACAACAAGCGCCGGCACAGCCTTCAGGCACAAAAGTGCAGAATTCCCCCCCGGCTTCGTGAAGGGTAGTTGAAATGTCAATGCCGTCCATTCTGCTGCCATGTGCCGTTGAGTTGTGATGCCCGTGGCCCGGTTGCACTACTGTCTGCGGATTCTTACTGAATCTCGCAGCCGCACCACCAGCTCGCAAGCCGCTGGAGTTCTGCACTACCTTTCTGTTATTACAGCAGGTATGCATACTCTCAAATGCCTTTGTTCTGAATTCGTTCGTACTCTGTGATGCCGCTTCAGGCATGTATCCCCTGTATCTGTACTCGTAGTCCCCGTCCCGTAGTAGCAGTCGTCGTCGCCGTAATAGTAGTAGGAGCAGGAGCAGGAGCGGTGAACTAGTTGTTGTTTTGTTCTGGTTGTCCTTGTCCTTGTTTTCGTCGCCGTTGTCGTGGTAATCGAGGTTACGGTTGTGGTGGTGCTGGTGCTGGTGCAGCCTTTGGTGCTGGTGCTGCTGGTGGTGCGGTTGGTGCTGTTGGTGATGGTGGTGGCGATGGCGAGGGCGATGGCGATGGCGAGGGCGATGGCGATGGCGATGGTGAGGGTGATGGTGATGGTGATGGTGTTGTTGTTTTTGGTGTGGTTGTTGCTACTTTTGTTGTTGTTGGTTGTGGTTGTTGGTTTTGGTGATGTTGTACTCCTGGCCAGGACAGCGCTCCCATATCCCCGGACAGCAGCTCCGAAGACTTTGAAGGACTGAATGCAGCCCAGACTTCAGGAGTTGCTTCGTGGGGGTAGGATTGTACAGAGGGGTGGGAAGGAAAGACAGAGAGAGAGAGTCAGGAAAGAGACTGGGATTTGGGATCTCATGTCTAAGTGACAGCATGGGGTCGGGCCCCTAAACTTAACCCTAAACCCTTGCTAGACCTCGTTTGGCGTGCCCGAGTTGCGAGAGTGTAAAACCATGCTAGACTGATTGAACCAATTTCTGCAAGGCAAAACATGGTGAGTCATTCTCGTTTCTGGTTGGTCCAGCATCACTACAGAAGCCAGAGCCCTAAACTGACGTGGGAGGCATGGACACAGAGTTCCTGCATTCTCGCTCGAGTGTTCGCGAGATGGACTCCGTGCTTCGAGGGACCATGGAGGCAATCTTGTTTCGGGATTTCGGGGTCTAGAGCTTGCGTTGCCCCAGATTTTTGCAGTTGCTTGAGGTGTCAGAGCTTGTCCTTATTAGGTGCTCCGACTCGTCACTGCGACTTACCGCTTTGTGGCTTCCCGAAGAGATGCCTAAACCCCGAGTGCTCTCAAGAGCAGAACAATTCAACACCACAGCCGCCATAATTAGGCATTCGCAAAAGTCGGAGCCAGAAAACCTGCACAGCAGAGAGCACGGGCCACGGATAAACCTGCAAACAAACTTACTGAAAGTAACAGTAGTTTAGCTAACAGACACCCCTCGCCCGCATTCGTGGCAGCACCAGCAGTTCTGGGCAGAGAGCAGCAGTCGCCGTGGCGGTGGTCGTCGCCGTAGGTAGTCGTAGTTGTATAGTAGTAGTCGTTGTCGACGTAGTGATAGTGCTAGTGCTGCTAGTGGTCGTAGTGGTCGTGGTAGTTAGTGGTGGTAGTTGCGTGCTAGCGACTACTAGCGATCGTAGTAGGAATTAGTAGGAAGGAGTCGTGGTAGTAGTAGTAGTAGTAGTAGTAGTAGTAGTAGTAGTAGTAGTAGTAGTAGTAGTAGTAGCAGTAGTAGCAGTGGTGGTGGTGGTGGTGGTGGTAGTAGTAGTAGTACTAGGAGTAGTAGTAGTCGTCGTAGTGGCAGTGGTAGTGGTGGTGGTGGTGGTGGTGGTGGCCGTCGTCGTCGTCGTGGTCGTCGCGGTCGTTTTGGTCGTAGTAGTGGTAGTGGTAGTGGTAGTGGTAGTGGTAGTGGTAGTGGTAGTGGTAGTGGTAGTGGTAGTGGTAGTGGTAGTGGTAGTGGTAGTGGTAGTGGTAGTGGTAGGTAGTGGTGGTCGTAGTGGTGGTCGTAGTGGTAGTGGTAGTGGTAGCGGTAGTGGTAGTGCTAGTGGTAGTCGTCGTCGTAGTAGTGGTAGTAGCAGCAGCGTCAGTCGCCGTCGTACACCCCGTGGGTTCACATTTCCAAGGTTTCGGGTCCAATTAGATCCGAAGCCCGAAACCTAGAGTAGGCCATAACCTCGCTTAATTGGGGAACCCTACTTGGAGGTTCATGGGTAGTTATAAGTCGGGGTCATAAGTCCTTTAATATGGGTTATAACTATAGTTATTGTACGTAAAACCCTACTTGTAACAAACCATGAAACTCCAAGTAAACCCTAAACCCTATACCTTATAAGAAGCCCTATAGATCCCTTACAAGGGACCCTCAAAGGAACCCTTATAACTAATACCTACAGAACCGTCAACCCCACGGAAGAGGTCGTCGAAGATTTGCTTCAAAGCGCGGCATCGGCGGCCGTCACTCGCGCCGAGGACCAGAGACTTGTGTTTAGGGTTTCGGGCTGATTGGATACACTTTACACTTTTGGGGATAATATTATCCTCTATAAAACTGTAAGTGCACACTTTTTGGGGGCCTATGAACTCAGCAACTAAGTTTTGGGTTTAGGGCGTTTTAAAGCCCAAGCCCTAAAGGTTAAGGATTTAGATATTTAAGCTGATCAGCAGTCTGGGTTCAAGAACTGGTATTTAGGCTCCAACCAAGCCTGTGTAAAAGAGATTTAGGGTTTAGTTTTGGGTTTCGGAGGGTGTTGGGCGTTGAGGGCTTAGGGGTCGTCTGTGGTGTAGCAGGTTTAGGGCTTTTGGGGTTTGACATGGAAAATTGTGTGTTTAGTCCAGGGGGTCTGGCATCATCCCGGTTAGGATTTTGCAAGGTTTGCGAGCTTCCGAGTCTCTCTTAGGGTTCGAAAAGAGGCTGTATATTGGTTTTGCCAGGATGTGAGTTTTGAGCCTAAGCTGTGGGTTTGAGGTGTTTCAAAGAATGGCTTCAGGCTTGAGGGTTCAGGTCGCAAGCGCTCATTCTTCATGTTTGCCATAGGTGACGACGACATTGCGTTAATCCCGACGGGTTTGCAATGAAGTTGGCACGGATGCTGTCCTGCTTTCCAGGCCCTTACACCACAAGTGTTTGTCGGATGGCACAGTCCCTTCGGCGAAGACACGCGGTAGTTTGCGAGACGGCATGGTGCTAATGCAAATCATGGCAAATTCTCGGCCGGGTTCCCGATCCCTCTTGTAACTCAACGCCCTTTTTCCGATAGAGTTTACCACAGGGCTACAGTTGGCTACTTGCCTGCGGAGTGGAGCAGGAAGTTGACAGTACGGTTGATGATACAAATCCTGCATTACCCACAATAAGGAATACATATACCATAATTCTCATAGTTTAGGGTCATCCTCCTAAACTATGAGAATTGTGGTATATTCCTTCTTGTGAGTAATGCAGGATTTATATCACCAACCGTATGACCGTACGGCGGAATAGCTGGGGCTCCGGGGCGTGTCCTTGGCAACGGTCCCAGTGTACCCAAGGGCCCCATAGTAGTTCCTTCTTGGGATTGCCTCATAAGATTCTAAAGAAGAACCCCAAAGTGGAACTACTATGAGGCCTTGAAGTTTAGACAAAGTCAGAGAAGCAAGAATAATATTGAAGAGTGAACCTGATGCCACACGATTTTCCACCCATTGAGCAGCTTCTTCTTGTGACTGGGTCGATGGCTTTCTTCATGTTTACTTACACCAAAGCAGGGAATCTTTTATTGAACATCCTGACTTGATACTCCTGGCTACATTCATGCTCCCCACAGTACTTGAGAAGCTAATTCTTTAGGGGTGTAAGGTTCCTGATCATAATGAAGGAGCCTAAACGTTTATTCCAATCATTAATTAAGGCTCCCCACAGTATCCACCAGAAGTCCTCTTCCCAGTACACCCTTCGGCTACGACTGGGCACGCTTATGTCGGAGATGAGTGGCGCTCCAGGCGCGGCTGTTGCGATGTGATGCTACTGTTGGTTAGCCAAGCTTTTTGTTTGCCTGGTTTCGACCGGTTTGGAAGGTGATGCATGCAAAAAATAGCCCTGGCCATGCATTCCACACTTCAAGCCTGCGGGCTCCGGGGTGCGAATGGAGGGTGGAGAATTTTTTTTTGCCCTTTTTTTTTTTTTTGTTTGGCCCTTTTTTTTTTTTCCCCTGCCCTGGGCTCCTGGGTTCTCTGTATTTGCACAGGAAAAACAGCTCTTCTCTCGGGATTTTCTGTATTTCCACAGGAATCTCCAAGGGAAAACACTGCTTTCCTATGGATTTCTTTCGTTTCCTAAGGATTTGCTTGGTTTTTTCTGGGGAAAACACGATTTTCCTACGGATTCCGTTGTATTTCTCTAAGTTTTCTTTGGTTTTTCCTAGGAAAAAAGCTTATTTTCCTATTACCTACGGCGTTCGTGGCATTTCTTCAGGTTTTCCGAAGGAAAACATACGTTACCTAGCTTATTCCTCGGGAAAATCAAATTTTTCCTACAATTTCGCATTTAGGACGGATTTCGTGGTGTAGTTGTTGCTAGTAGTGTTGTTGTTGTTGGCGTTGTGGTTGTAGGTGTAGTATGTTGTAGTTTTAGTTCTAGTTGTAGGGATAAAAAAACCCGAGGGTCAAACAAAAATCAAAGAAGGATCAAAAAATGAAAATACGGCAATTGCAGCCATTCAGCGTGATTGTTCTGTCTTTCTTACTGTGTTGTTCTTATTCCCTTGTGTTTTTTTGGGTTTGCGTTCTGTATTTCGTTCGATCATTCCTTGTCTGTCTTTCTGTGGTTGGTTCTTTCCGTTTATCTTTCTATTTTTCGATTTGTTCGTGATTTATTTCTTCCTGTCTTCCTTCCCTTGGCTAGTAGTGTTGTTGTTGGTGGCGTTGTAGTTGTAGGTGTTCTGTCTTTCTCTCCTTCTTTTTTCCTTTCTGGGTTTCTTTGTTTATGTATCTATATAGCTCTTTTTTTTGCATCTTCTTTTTTATCTGCATATCTTTGTTTCTGCCTTGCTTTCTTCCTTTGTTTGTTCCTGTCCCTGTCTCTTTCTAGCTCTTTCTCTCTCTTTTTTTTAATCTCTCTCTCTCTCTCTCTCTCTCTCTCTCTCTCCTTCGTGTCTTAAGTCCAAACCAAAAGCCGCGCATCGGACTTTTCGCCAGTCGCCGAGGCACTGAGCTGCTACCCTACACGTCCCTAGACCGTCTACGAACAGCCCTGCAGCTTACGTTGTACCTCTCGAAACAGGAACGTAACGAACACGAGTACTTGTAGATTGTAGTTTGCAAGTATGGCCGCATGTTACGTTTCTGCGTCTGCATGCGGGAGGAAGCGCTCCAAACAGCAACATGCTGTAGTTTCTACGTTTTCGTTTGTGTACTCGTGTTCTTTCTGTTCTTCCTTCGCTGTTTCTTCCGGGGCGACGTTAGTTCTCGCTGAAACTGCGTCAAGCCGATTTAAGCGTCGCACCCCTAGGACCCAGGGCAAAAAAAGCACAATGAAGCGATAGTCTTACGTATCGTTCTTCTTTATTTTCCGCGTCTTTCTTGTTCCTTTAACTATTTCTGATTGTCTTTATTAATTTATGGCCTTCCGTATTTCTTTATCTCTCTGTTTTTGTTCTTTGGTTATTTCTTCATTGTTTGTTTTGTTTTTGTTTCTAACTCTCTTTGGTTCTTTCCCTTGTGTTTTCTTTGTTCTTACCTTATAGCTTTCTTTATTTACTTAGTTCTCTATTCTTGTTTTCTTTTTTACTTGTAGCATCCTTTATTTGTTTATTTCTCTAGTTCTTGCATGGCTCTCTTTCTTTCTTTCTTTATTGATTTCTTTCTTTCGTTCCTTCCTTCTTATTTACTATATATACCATATTGATTATATATACTATATATACTATATATACTATATATACTATATATAGTATATATACTATATATACTATATATATATATATTATATATACTATATATACTATATATACTTTTTATAGTATATTTGCTATATATACTATATACATACTTTATATACTATATATACTATATATATTATATATACTACTTATACTATATATATATATATATACTATATATACACACTATATACATTATATATACATATTATATATAGACTATATATATATATAATATATAAAAATACCGTATATGCTATATATACGATATATATACCAGACATATACATATATATATATATATATATACTATATACATATATACTTTATATACTATATATATATACTATATATATACTATATATATACTATATATATACTATGTATTTATATATATGTACTATATCTACTACATCTACCATACATACTGTATACACCGTTTATACTACACATACTGTATATACTATATATAAATATATATATATACACACTCCGTCCTTCCTTCCTTCCTTCCTTCCTTCCTTCCCGCGGCAGGGCCCCTCTCTCCCTGCCTGCCTGCCTCCTTTACTTCCTTCCTTCCTTTCTTCCCTCCTTCCCTCCTTCTTCCTTCCCTTCCTTCCTTCCTTCCTTCCTTCCTTCCCGCGGCGGGGCCAACAAAAAAAAAAAAAAAAAAAAAAAAAGGGCTAAAAAAAATAGGGTCCCCTGCGGCGAATGGACACTGTTTGCTTGCTTGTGTTTATGCGTTCGTCTGTGTTGTCTGAGAGCCTCTTGCATGAGACTCTGTGCCTGCGTGTCGGTCGAGTCGGTCTGCGTCTAGAGGTGTTTTTTCATGATACCTTCATCTTCGCCAATTCTCATGCTTTCTTCGCAGCCCGCCATGCTGCAATCGTCAGAGCACACGAAGTAGGGTTGGTTGTTGGGTTTCTTGGGGGAGCACGTGTAGGGCTCACTAGGCATGTCAGGATATTTCTGATACAAGTCAACTTGTTTTCCTGGAGCGAGAGCTTAGATTCTGGCTTAGATGTTTCTTATTCAGAAGTGTTCTTAAAGGGATGGGCTAAGAATTTCGGGCCGGGGCTGCTATACTGCACAGGGTTAGAGTGCAAAGATTTAAGGGAGGGACAGGAGGGTTTTGATCCCCAAGAGGTGCTTCTTCAGAGCCCTAGACAAAACCGTTTTTTCAGCCTGTCACTCCTGGGGGCTCGTAGTTGCAGCAGTATACATAATTCAAGTCTGATATTAGTAGCTCTCAAACTTAGGGTGCGTCCCTTCTGGTTCCTTTTACACGGGTGCCGTTAGTTTTGGCACCGAAAAGAGACCCGAGTTTGGAGAAAGTTCTAAGCAGCAGTAGCTGTGGTAAACGCGGCCAGCGGATGACTGCGGATGCGTTAGGCTTTGAGGCCAGGCTGAGATGCTAGGCAGGGCCTAACCATTCCCAAAGACCCACCTTAACCCTGAATAACCTACCTGTTTAGGGTTCTGGTCTGATGTGAATTTGAATGCTGGAAATTTGCAATTGAATGCAAAGAGAACAATCCAAGCGGCATTTTGCTGACATGCATAAGAAGAGTTGTGACATGCACCATGATTCTAGATGCAAGAGATGCGAGAGCTGGTGAAAGTCGACAGAGTGATCAACCAGCTTAGCTATCTCATGGAGATGGTCTCATTCAGTTCAGCTGGAAATCGGCCTGGACACATAATGACCTTCACATACTGTTGGGTCTAATTCACCATAATTACTGTTGTGCCATTCACCCTGCTTCGTGTACAACCATGCAGGAGGCAAACAAAAAAAGATAACAACAAATCATGCCACGAGTATCCCAAGAACTGGAGGCATGGTGGGTCGATGCCAAGATCAGACATCGTCCCCAGCACGGGTGATCTACACACCTTACTTACGACCTGCACTGAACCCTACAGTATCAGCACCAGGGCTGGCACTTACACTGAACCGAATGCTAGCTGTTGGCTAGTTGTCAAGTCTTTGGGTGCTGATGGGAACTCGTATGCGTTGCACAACAGCCCCTCCTTTCAGTCGTCTAGAGGCCCGAAACCCTTCGCCCTATGGCCTATCCAACCAAGTACCCTGCAATGCGGGCTTCGTCCTTCCCAACTATAAAAACCGACACCCGAAAGCCTGAAGCAAACCCTGAACCCTAAACCCGAAACCCTCCGCCCTAAAAGCTACACCCGAAACCCTGAAGCAAACCCTGAACCCTGAAACCATATGCCTCGCCTGGATTGTCCGAGTGTGAGCGCCGACACCCGAAACCCTGCCACCGACTTGGCCAGGCCGCGACCGCGCCTACAGCCATCACAGCACTTTTGCCGCGAGGGGGACTCCGAAGGACGCCCTGTTTGATCTTCAGGGCCTTTAAGGATTAGTGTTAATTAGGGTTTAAAGTTAGGGACCCAAAAAAGGACATAAGCATAAGCATTTTGTAGGAATGGGCTTCATTATACCGGGGTTTATACGGGATATGCCTATCCTAGTTTTTGCTTACGTGATTTTTGTGGGGCCCTATTCAGAGCCTTTAGGGATTAGGGGATGTCGGGCTCGGTTTGGCTTTGCCGGCTTCGGCGCATTCAAGATCGGCTTGGAAAGGCAAGGGTCGTTCTGTGACTCATCGAAGCATTCAGAGGTCTATGCAATAGTTCTGGCAATAGTTTGCTTATCTTGCTGTTCTCGTATCCATGCAGCATTTTCTCCTCAAGCTCCGGTCTCGTGCCAGCGCTCGTCATGATTCCGGCTTCTACATCTGTAGTCCGATACCGTACCTGTGATCGAGTTTCGCTGCATGCCGGGGAACAAACTCGACGTTGCAAATCATTCTTCCAGATGCGTTAGGCTCTTATTGTGAGCAAGTCCACTTGGAGTTGGGCAGGGTTCGTGAGACCGCCTATTTTGCAGAGTGAGATGAGTGTCGGTAGGTCAGCACTAGGACACTAGGCCAAGAGTACTTAGCAGCAATACTGGCGCTGACATCATGTATGATTATGAGATCTGAAGAGATCAGAAACAGACATATGAGCTGCAGCAAAATATGGCTTCTATTCAGTCCCTTGTAGTCACCCGGCTTGCCGCGATGCAATCAGACATGTCAACTGGCCCTTGTATCGGCAACCGTCGCCATCGCAGCGGCGCAATGTAAACTTCTAACCATAGCTATTCTGCAACAACCACAACAAACAGGCGAGAAGGGATGGTGTATCTGTGCTTCGACTGCCAATAAGCACATTATCCCTGGTGGTGCAAAACTGCTCGAAATCCACAATTCATGCAGCTGTGACAGGGGGAAGAAGCGATGAGCCCAGCGCTGCTGCTGGGAACTCTAGGCCACTCGCTTGGGCGTTACACGTGCCTTCTTCTGCTGGATGTGGATCCCGTTTGCGATCGCAACGTGCGATTCAAGTCGCTCCGGATGTGCCGGCTCGTTGAACTGCGTACCAGGTCATTAATTACATTGATCCCCACTGCAGACATTCACAAGCAGAGAGAAACACTGCATTGTACAAGCAGCATGCAGTGAAAGAGAAGTCAGTTTGAATCCGCTGATCTGTGCTAGATTGCGGTAAGTGCTGTTGTTGTCCCTATTGTTGCCGGCATCACAAGCAAAGCCGGCATGCTTGGTACAAGCCGGCCGCACCCTAAGCCTGTATGCATGGAAGTTGCACCGAGCCATCGAGTCTTGAGTGCAACCCGTACTCGTCAGAAACAACTTTGGTGTTTGGTCTTCTGAGGTGCAGAAGTGCGAACAGTTAGTATCGGAGTGATGTTGGTTCCTACGCAATGCAAAAGGCGGTGCTAAGTTTATGAGATACAGTGGTGCGTATTGCCGTGTTTGCTGCCAAACCCAAGCTCGCAATCTGCTAGCCACAGGCCCAGACGAGCGGCCTCGATGGCCAGCAATGGCCCACCTGGAGGCCTCCAAGCATGTCCTTCCCGAGCCGTAATGTATCCCTAGACCCCTAAACCCTGTAAGACTTAAGGCTTTAGGACTGAAGGTGCAGGGTTCTGTAGAGCATAACATTCTACCGGGTTTGGAGGGGCCTTCGCACCATTTCCCTAGGACGGTAGTCGTGCAGTACAGTAGCACAATCGTATAGTCCTTAACCTAGTAGTCGAATAGGTACCCTTTAATCTTTTGGAGTAGTGTAGTCGTCCCTATTTAATCCCTATCGTATAACCAGAAATGTTTACCTTTAGTTCCCCATGATACCCGACAAGTACGTTAATTGTTATCGCAGTGGTACAGTCGTACCATTGTACAGTAGTGCAATGATACAACAGCACCGGGGTATGCTGTACCGTAGTACAGCAGTACGGCAGGAGTACAGCAGTAGTACAGTACAGATTGTGGCGACGTCTCTAGAAAAAGCTGCACTTCCTTCAAAATCAAGCTTCAGGCTTCATAGTTATCGTTTCAGTTAGACGTCAAGATTGACCACTAGCAGAGAGGAAAGAACAACCTATTTTGGTAAATTTCGGTGCACATTATAGAAGACTTTGCCCAATATGCCAGCAATAAGATAAGCACCGGAAGAACACATTTCAGATGGTCATCGAAATACACCCAGTACCAAATTACTATGGCGTTGAAGTCGTTACTGATGAGTTCCTTGGGGTACCAAGTTTGTAGTGCATTAGTACACATACCTCGGGGATGGGTTGACCAAAGTAGACTGTCGCAGGTTTATCCGTTACAGTTGACTGCTAGCTTGTCGACTAAACTTCTGCGCCACATATTTGGTGCTACTGCTATGCAGTCCCCTGGGACGATGGAGAAGTGAGCGAAAAGCACAAACTCTTGATGGGAGGCTGGCCAGAGGGTCTCTAAAAGCGGATCACGACTCCGGCGCTCTTGTGGCGATTTCTTTCTGAAAATCGGCTATGGAAGAGGGAAAGAGTCTGAGCCTGAACTCTACACTAAAATTTAGAGGTTTGATTGCTTAACAGCAGCGCGTTGCGATAGTCCCCGGAATGTTAGGCGACTGAGCTGCATCGGCGTACCCTCGATTATCAAGGTCCCTAGACATCGTACTCACATCCTACTTTTAATACGAACCATGAACCTTCAAGTATATAAGTTGTTCAACCCGAGGCGGTGGTCGAAGCCGACGAGTGTCCAGTGCCCCCGCCGAACCAGCGAGCAAGAAGCACCGTGGCGCTGAGCGGGTTTAGGGGTTTAGGGTTTAGGGGTTTTAGGGGTTTAGGGTTTAGGGGTTTAGGGAATTCAGGGTCCAACACCCTTATCATCCTGGGTGACCTTAAGCATGTTTGGTGTCGTATATACGGCTTAGGGAAGAGGAACAAGTAAGATCAGGATGTTAGCTTGCTTGGGGCATTCCTGTGGCAGCCATCACCGTCAAGATGCTACTGTAGCCATCGCAGTTCGTAGTGTGCTTCTTTTGCAACCGATGTAAACACAAAGGTTGTAATGCCCCACCTCGAGATCTTCTGAATACATGCGTATATTCAGCCAGAATCCAGAACAGGGTTCGGAGAAATGCTGTTTTCAAGGCTTCCGATTTGCAGAGGTGGACTTGAGATCAAGCGCTGCGGGCCAGTCGTTAGTAGTTGACGAAGTAGCAGCACCCGTATAGGTTTCAGATAATTGCAGTACATGATGCCCTTACCGCCTGAAGAAGATTCTTATAGGGGTGTAGCTTTAGCTCTCATGTCACGTGTATTGCAAGGCAAGAAGCACTGCCATCAACAAAAGCAACTGCATCCTTTTTGATAGCTGTATATATATATATATATATATCTATATGCATATCGGATATTCACTTGCTGTTTAGTCAATAGTCTGCATGTGGCAGACTTGTTGCAGTGCAGGGGCCTGTTAGAGTCCTAGAGAGGACTGCGCTGTGTGCTACCTGCAGTCCCCGCCAACCTCAAAGCTCGGAACAGGAAGCCCTGAGCGTGACGAGACAAGTCTAATTTGAGGGCGTGGCCTGGGGTATAGAATGTCTCTCGATCCGAGGCCTGGGGCTGGCTGCATGAGTTTCAGTTTGTGGAAGTTGTGAAGTTTTCAGGTTTGCATAGCATGGGATCACACCACACTAGCCGATCAAACCTTCAACCCGTGGCATGATACCTACAAATTGGAAGCAGGGGCTCCATGAATCTGAGGATCAGAAATCCTCGGATGAATCAATGAACAGGGGGTTAAGCGGGCTGTAGCCTGGACAGAGTGGCCAGTCCCCAAGCCCAGTTGAGAACATGTCGAGGTCTGGGTGAGCCTCCTCCGGAGCGTGGAAAGGAGCGTGGAAAAGGAGGGAAAAGATCTCCAGCTGTGCATGTGGACGTCGTTGAGAGCTATCCGGTCCAGATCTAAGAGTCTAGGTCCGTAGGATTTGGGAACCTGTGCTCGCGGAAGGCACTCGCGACGGATAGCATGCGTACCACATCGTACCACCATTCTCGGTGTTCGGTTGCCAAGGTTGGAGGGTGATGTGTCGGAGTTAGCTCATGATTAGTTGACAATCGACAATCGAAGTGCCAATTCCAGAGCGCAGTTTCCATGCTCTTGCTTGCCGTTGTCGGGGTTAAAGGAGCTTCGAAGCCGATGGTGTTGCTATGAGCTAATGTAATCTACAGGCCCCAAAACCTAACCCACAAGCCTGTCGTAGGATGCCTGGTGGCCGTCGGAAGCCACCCGCGCACAATGGCATCGCCTTGCACATAATATAGGGGCCTAAACTGTTATCCAGACTGTTTTGGCAGTTCCTCTATGGTTATGAGATAACATACCCTCAAAGCCCTATTCTAATTACTGAGGCCCCTGTATTATTTCGTCGTAGCATAGCATGACTGCACCCTTCTCAAACGAGAAGGTTCCTGTGGTTGCGTCCTGAAAGACAATTTTCGTAGTCTGAATCTTGCTCCGACGCAGTAAGCCTGGATGGGAGTTCGAGGGACCACGATATTCTAGGAATACCAATTGCATGATTCAGAGTTCAGCGGCATGTTGTAAGTTGCAAAGAGAACTGGAGCTCCCCGACGAACTGCTCCCACCTGGAGTCTGGCATTCCAGACACGAGCCGTGTCCTATGCTGGGCGGGGCGTGTTGGTTTTAATAACCTTATACCGTATACATAGATTATACTCGTATATAACATATGCATATATATATATATATGTATATGCATGTGTTTATATGTATACATACATATGTATATGATATGTACATGTGTACACATACACATTTCCTTTTGTATTCATGTTTTTCGATAACTGGTGCCTACCCAGACACAGACCACTCGGATAAAGAGTGGACGGCTGAGCCGGTAAAAAGCGAGACCGCTTGCTGTCCGAAGTTTTAGGGGCTACGATGTCCATACCACGATTTAGGGTTGGGGATTACCGGTCAAGCTCTGCATCTAGCTAGCACGGACAGTCATGCACAAATGCACCGGCAGCAGTGAAATCCCAAAGGCGTGTTGCCATGACATTCGAGCTGTCACCAACCCCATCGGCCGTGATGCCAGAAAGCAAGGGCTGAACAGGTTTTGGGTTTTTGCGTTAGAGACAGTTAGAGTTCCGCAACACCTCCACCACCGGCGAACCCTGCACGGCCAGACTCGTCAACACTTGAACACCAATCTGCCCATGAATCCGACATATGGGAGTTTCCTAGGGCCTTTATAATAAGGATCCTACTATTTTAGGGTACTATTTTAGGGTCCCCTATTTTCGGAAACTCCCATATTTACACAAGATCCATGGAAGCCTCATGAGCTCGCCCGATCGGTCAGTGCATTTGAACACAAAGTAGTGAAACCTTCAACCCCTGAAGACAGAATGTACCCCCTAAACCCTACACACACATATATATATATGATATAGTATAATATATTTAATGTATAGTATAATATATTATATTACTATATTACTATATTGTGTCATATTGTATTATATATATATATATATGTATCGGCCCTACCTAAACCCTGAGGTGCCTTTCGGGCCCTCACTTCACACTGCAAGCTTCTTCGCTCACATGAAGCGGGGACGCCCAGCAAAAGTCAGAAGCTCTAAACCCCACAAGCTCTAAACTCACTAAACCCGTAAACACCAAACCCCTGCAACCTTCAGCCCTAAGCCGTAAACCCTATGTACCTCAACCCTAAAGCCCTCAAGTAGTACCGACCCGCACAGAGAGACCTCGTCTGGCAAGTCCGAGTTGCGAGAGCGTAAAGCCCTCAAACCTAAACCCAATGTACCGAAACCCTAAACTTCCCTGACCAGCGGAGCTCCCGAAGCCCTAAACAACTACAAGGCTCTAAATTCATGTACCGAAACCCTAAACCCTAAACTTCCTGTTGACCTTAACTGCAAGGCTGAAAAAGGCCCTTAAAAAAAGATCCTGTTGTGAGAAAGTAAACCAGGGGAGCTTCGATGCTGCCATGGCCATGGCGCCTGGCCTTCTCTCTGTGGACTTGCCGGCTCAGCCAGGTCTGGAGTCTCAGCACTGAAACTCAGAGACTCCAATATCCCTTAATTAAGGAATATTCCGTAAATTATAGTAGGATCCCGAATATGATTTAAGGAATATTCCTTAATTAGGGGATATTGGAGTCTCCGGGAACTCCTGAACCACTTAACATCATAGAATACATAGTCTAATTGGTTATGGAATCTTATATGCGATAGCTAGAGTATACTATACTAGAATATATCATAAGATGCTTTCAACGAACACACTATCGTAGATTCTTTTACTATAATATGGGCTTCTGGGCCTACCCGAAACCCTGAACCCTGAGCCCCTGGAGCTAATCCGAAACCCACCAGTCTGGGGCTTCACGCTTCTCAGCTTTACAGTAGAAGCCAGAAAGTGGGAATATCATTATCGTAACCCCTTTAATTATAGGGGATCCCACCATTAATCCATATTCCAACTTTTCTGGAGTTCCCTGTAGGTTTTGGCTCTTGGCTTCGGGAAATCAGGGCAGCGAAGTGTAAAATCAGCGCGCTGCACGACAACTTGGACCCGAAATGCTCAAGCTAAGATCGGATCGCAACTGCTGGCCTCTATAATGATAATACAAGATTATACTATACTCTATTAGATTATGTTATGTTAAAGTTTAGGACCTCAGGCTTGGACGCTGGCCAGCTTGGTTGCTGGTGTCGACGGACGCCAGGTCCCCTTGGAGGCAAATATTGCTCGTAATCTGCTTCGTTTGAGATTCTGTCAGCGTATCATGCGTGGATACTTCGTCGGCTGTGCTATTTGGGTTCAGTGGCGCAGAAACTTGCTTGCCCCTACCGCCTGGCCTCTGGGGCAAAGGGGTTTAGGGGTACCCTAAACCCTAAACCCTAGACCCTAAGTTCAGGGTTTAGGGTCCTAATTCCTAAACTCTGGAGTCGCCATGAAGGAGACACTCACGGGGTCAGCATACAGGCCATCGGCACTGCGGACCGCGTCGACTGGATCCATTTCCCAGATGGGAGGACATCAGCTCATTTCTTTGTCATAGTTGGGTAACATTTTACATGTTTATGGGTACTTGAGCCCAATCAGGAATAGAAATGTACAGTCTTAATCCTATCCCAACAATGAACTAGGTTTGGGGATGTGCAGCACTTTTGAACCTGAAGCATGTTCAGACATGTGGGAGTTTCCGAAAATGGGGGTCCCTTGTTTTAGGGTCCTTGTCATAAGGATCCTGCTATTTAGGGTACTATATTAGGGTCCCCTATTTTCGGAAACTCCCATGTACACACATCCAAACCAGCTGTTCTCCAAAGCCTTGCAAACAGTAGCTTAAACAGTGGAGTTGAAGGTGTTTACCTCTTCTCCCTCAAGTCGTCGAACCTACACCGCCTGAAGATGTCTACCCTAATGGGTGGTTGTCCAAATTATGGTCCCTTTTTGGGTACCCGAAATAATAGGTGCCGTACTATAGTAGGGACCCAAAAATAGGGATCCAAAAAGGCACATAAGCATAAGCATTTTGTGGGGATATCCCTACCTTATGGGCTTCCTTTTAAAGGGGGTTTATATGGGACATCCCTATCCTAATTTTTGCTTATGTGCTTTTTTGGGGCCCTAAAAAAGGGACCATAATTTTGACAACCACCCTAATGTTAAACCTAGGCCCAAAGCCCCAAATCTTCACAGACCGTCGCAAAGAAGCACCCGAGTCCTCAATCTGCTCATGGCCTCAGCCGACGCCCGCGACATGTAGTATAAGTGCCGTAAGTATATGGATGCCTATAGGTTTAGAAGTATACATCTATAAGTATAACTTTGAAGTGTATACATACATATATATATACATACATACACCTGGCCTTTCAGTGGTACACTTTTTACTTTCAGGTCTCTGGGCTCCTATGTAAAAAAAGAAGCCGAAAAAAGTACATACTTTTCCGAGTGGGTTACTGAACAGCCTAGTATGTATATATATATATATATGTATAAATATATATATGTGTGTGTGTCTGTGTGTATGTTATTCAATATTATACCACCCGCCCCCCCCCCCCCCAACAAAAAAAAAAAATGTTGTAATCATCAAGGCCCCGAAACTGTGGTTCACCCCTTCTGAGTGATGCTGACAGTATTCCACGTCGTGATAAAAATACTGTTATGTCAATGTCGCATGCTCACTCTTGCTTGAAGCTGAACCGCAGGCCTCAGTTTCCGAGTTACGGGGGTCCACACAACCTATGGGACCTCTGTACTACCGCCCCCACACGGCCCAAAACGCGAAGAGGAGCTTCGAGGATCGAAGCATTTTTGGAAAAACTCTAAAGCTGAAGCCGTACACCCTTGGCCTAAAAAGTTTCTCCGATCCCTCAGTTCATGAGTCTTTGTCTGGAGATTGACTTGCAGTCGGAATTTGCAGTTGAATTGTGTTTATTATTCGGAGTGTTTGCATTTAGTTTCGGGGGCTCTTGCTCATTGCTCTGGCTTTTGCTCTTGATGTTGCTCCTGCTGCTGCGCCGCGGCTCTTGCCATTGCCCTTGCTCCTGGTCCTTCTCTTTCGCTTGCTCGCGTTCCTGTTGATGCTCTCGCTCCTGTTTTTTGCTCTTGCTGCTGTTTTTGCTCTTGCTCTGGTTCTTGAACTACCCTAATTCAAAACAGGTTTTCAAAGGCGGGGATGATGTCAGGGGAGTTTTCCGGAAAGTGTTTTGCTGGAGGGGGGGGGTTAATAAACCGGGGGCAGGACTGCTCTGTAGCCACGCGGGTGGTCGCCAAACCCTAGCCTGAGAGTTTCCGAATATAGGGTACCCAAAAAAGCCATAGATAGTAGGATCCTTATTCAAAGGACCCCATAATAAGGTACCCCTAAAGAGCCCTTTAAAGGAGCCCTTTTAGTAACC